GTGTAACTTTGAGCAATACATGTAATACTGTTATTAACAGTTATGTGGCACGAAGTCATTTTACTGAATGAATATAAAGTACTCTGGGACTACTGGAAATAGCTTTATCGCCATAATCTTGTTTTCACAAAGCACTTAGGTGCCTTGCAGTTTTCTCCATCTTATAAATGATATCATTTCTTCAGGTTTTTCTTATTCTGACTAATCCCACTATAACACCCAGGAAGTATAGCTGCTTTTAAGTTTTGCCTTATATTGAATCTTATTGTGTGTAGTACGCTCTACCCATAGTTTCATAATAGGTATCTTAGCACTCTAAAGACCTGTTGTGGGAGCACGCCTGGGAAGGCCTGCAGATGAATTATTACTCATTAGCCTAAGTCAGATTGTCTACCAGGGTGATTCAAAGGCCTCACTACACTGCTGCTTTTTGTTCTCTGCGTTGCTGATTTTCTAAGAATATAATTATTTTGTGACTTTCTTCTCTTTTGCAGGAAGATCTATTTCAACAGCCAGGCCTAAGATCGGAATTTGAGGAAATTAGGGACTCTTTGGATACGGGAATGATTGATACCCTCAATACTGCCTGTATCCTTCAGAGGTGTGTGTGTGTGTGTGTGTGTGTGTGAAAGAGAGAAAGCGGAGAAAGAGAGAGAGAGAGAGAGGTGAGAAAAAGGAAAGAATAATATAGAGGGTGCCAAAAAAATGTATACATGTTTAAGACAGGAAAAAACTGTATTAAAATTGTAATAATATATACCAATAACAAAAGATGAATGTATATCATGTGTTTACGTATTTTTGGCACCCCTGGTATTTTAAGGCTCAAATCAAATATTGTGTCCCCCGCTATCATGTTCCTCTTACTTAAAGTTTGCATAGAGAAGACTTTACAACTTTAAGCAATCAATATAGCAGGAACTCAGGAAGGCCCAGCTAAGCTGACAAACAGCTTGGCCCCTTCAAGATGTCAGGCTGGCCTCCTGACTCTGAGCAGAAAGCCTGACTGGGCCGGCAGCACCTCTAGCATGTGCTCGCTCCCGGGTCTTTTCCTAACCATGGGCAGCAGCGTCACCTGTTCCTTAACGATGGGCCGAAAGCCTTTAGCAGTCATTCCGTAGCCGAAGCCTTGCTGCTTTTCCTGGAAAGCCTGCCGGAGCCCGTCATCTGTTACAGCGCCTACCATAACTGCTTGGAGTGTTCTGGCAACTACACAGCAAGTCAACAGGTGCGGGGAAGCGTGGAGCATCAGCATACACATGCTGCAGCCCAGGCTTCATGGGGCCAGCGGGAACAGAGCGGTCGCGGCCCCTCAAATGCAGTGTCTTAGAAATTTAGTTCCATATCTTCCCTAACCTGTTCTCCCTCTCATGTCCATTTTTTTTTCTGTTAATGGCATCATCCGTAATTGCAGTGAGTCAACCCAGAAACGAGTCATTTCTGACTCCTCCAGTCCTCACCTCCCACATACTAAGTCCCCTTGATCTATCACCCATCTTTTTTTCTTCATTCTTGTTCCACTTACCTTGGTTCAAAACCCTGCATTCAGGCTCTCCCGCTGATTTATTTTGTGTACTGCCATTAGATTGTGGTTTTTGTGGGTTTTTAAAAAGATTTTATTGGGGGAATTGGGGGTGGGGAACAGCGTTGGGGAATCAGGGAAGGGGAACAGGCAAGCTGCTGTCCTTTTGTTCTTCAGTCTAGTTGTGGAGGATGTCGCTTCACTGGCCCATGTTGGTATTATCATTGCGCTCTTCCCGGGTGAGGCAGTCACTCGCTGGCCATCGGACGGCCGCTCACGGCGGCTCACAGCAGCTCACGCCCACTGCCGGCCAGCCCCACTGCAGCCTACTCCTACGCCAGTGACTCACGGCAGCCCAGCTCCAGGTCGAGCTGTTGTTCACCATCTTAGCTGTAGAGGTCGCAGCGTCACTGGCCCTCATGTGGGATCCGAACCTGGGCTCTGCTGCTCAGAGCTGGCGTCCCAAGCCAACTCCTAACCAACGCGCCACAAGGCCAGCCCTAAATTGTGTTCTAAAACTCTCATGTTACTGTTGGTCAAAAACCATAATTGGCTCTCTATTGCCAATTGATTTTCTTAAATATTCAAGACTTTTTATGGTCTACTCTAGTTTCTCACATATATAACAGACCATAGCAGAATAATCTAGAAAGCCTGCTAATAATACAGGTTCTAGAGCCTCAGCCCACATCCACTGAATCAAAATCTCTTTTGGAATATATTTTGTACCAGCTTCCCAACTGATTCTGATATGCAGCTAGCTGGTGGACTCATTCTAGCCTGATCCCTTCCAGGCTTAGTGCCTGTTCAAAAGAGTTGTGCTCCTGCCAAGAATGACTTCTGAAATGTGTTCTTTCTCCTTACCTCCCTGTTTTCCTTCTCTTCACACTTTCTTTTGCCCTAAATGCCCTAGTCCTTACCTCTGTAAGTCCAATCATGTGTTCTATTCAAGACCCAACTAAAATGTCCTCTATTTCCTTAAGTCTTTGGAGAGCACGTAGAAATTTGACCTCAAAATTCATGTAGCACTTGATATGTGCTTCTCTTCTGGCACTTGTGCCATGTGGTAAATGATCAAGGTCTTCTGTGCACAGTCTTACGCATGTACTTGGATTATGTACTCAATTGCTGGAATATAGCAGGCACTTGACAAATAATTAAATGAATGAAAAGATAAATCCCCATTTTCTCTCTTTCAGGTCATTTCTAGTCTTCCCAGATTCCACAAAAATGTCTTCCACTACCTGATGTCATTTTTGCGAGAATTACTGAAAAATTCAGCAGAAAATCATTTGGATGAGAATATTCTAGGTAAGCAACCAAATGCCTTGCTGAGAGACTCATTTTGAGAAATGTCGTTGAGGAAGGTCCCAAGTCCACTGCAGTAAAACTAAAATCTTAAGCTCTGGGCAAAGTTTACCCTCAAATCGTTTTTTTCAAGCAGAAAATTTGCTTTGGGGCACCCTCCCCCACTCCTACCAACACAAGAATAAGTAGTGCCTTCTTTTGCTGAATCATTTGTTCTCTGTGTCTTTCATGCAGCTAGCATATTTGGCAGCTTACTGCTTCGAAACCCAGCTGGTCACCAAAAGCTTGACATGCTAGAAAAGAAGAAGGCTCAAGAATTTATTCACCAGTTCCTCTGCAACTCACCCTGAGCCTCTCTGTCTCTTCTGTTTTACCCGAAGCAACCAATTAGTCCCACCTGTTTCAGTTCAAGAGCGGCCTTAAGAGGATGTGAGGCTACTTGGGAGCAAGAGGGGCAACTGCCTATTTCCTGAGCCCAGGCCGTCCTCCCCCACCATGGCTCACACTCAGTGCTGCTGTGAGTTGTGAGCACATGAGGGGAAATCCACCACAATAAAACTGACATTCAGATGTTCAGCTTTAGTTATTTAACACAAATAGACGTCTTTTTTTTTTTTTTTAATGTTTAAGTAACTGTACTTCTTGTGCTCACTCAGCGTACCTTCAGGGCATAGTCAGTGCCTTCCCTGTAGCCTGGGCTGAGCTCCTCGTGATCAGATATTGGAACAGACTTTGGAGTCTTGAAGGGAGAATGAGTTGGACAGCAAGAATGCAAGTGGAAGCCGCTGGATAAACCGGCCACAGCCAGCCCAGATGCTTCCAGCACTCTGCCTGAGGACATATGTGTATGCATATGCAAGTCTTACCCTCTTTCCTACTCAGATGTGGCTCAAAAAACTCTGGGGCTGGCCACTCAGCCTCTTGAGGGCAATTCAGTGACTTGAAAATGAAAATACTGAAGAAATGGGGTGTTCTGGTGAAACAAGTGGGATTTTCTGGGCAAACTGTATATGATGCATCCCCTCTCTTATATATGTAATATATTTTATGATAAATGTATTTTTAACAGCGATTGTTTGTTTTTATCTCAAGTGATGGCAGCTCTCTGCATCTGGACCTTTGTGGCTTAAGAATGGGGGCAGCTAGTCAGGGGCCAAAGAGATGTTTGCCTGGTATCTGGTGGGTACAGTCCCAATTCACATTTTTCAAGCAAGAGATGGTACAGGCATGGCCTGAACCGCTTGATCCCCGATCTAATCTCTGGGAGTTGTTACACTGAATATTCCAGAGAAGAAGCTTAGGGTAAAAACAGGCAGTGGCTTCTGGGAAGTTCTAACAACTAAATCTTCCAAGGATTTAGAAAACACAGGAGCATAATGAAGGCAGAAGTAAAATAGCTCCTTGGACCCTGAAACACCACTGCTTGAAAGAAGTGTAAAATGTGATTTAGATATGGGCCAGTAGGATAACGAGGTGAATGAATAGTTAAAGGGAATGGCCAGTAGGTGGCGTTGACAGGCCTGGGCAGAACCCGATGGGAGCCGGCAATCCTCTGCAGGGGAAAAAGTTGGGACAGACAGAAAGCGTTGTGTGAGGGGAGAGTTGGGCTTTTTATAAGAGCTTATTGGCGGGGGGCGGGAGGGGGCAGGCGGCGGTGTGCTCCGGCTGGGACAGGAATACTCGCTCGTTCTGCCATTTGGGTCCAGTCTTTTTCTCAGACCCTCCTGGCTGTGTTAATTAACTTTGATGGGTGATGAGAGGAAGCTGGGGCCACAGAGGGAGAAATGCGGGTATGTCACAACCTTCTAGGTTCCCCTGCGGGGCCGCAGCCGGAATTCGGATACCTAACTGGTTCTTCCCGTTGCTGCTGTGGTTGCCATGGCAAGGACAGCCAGCGTAAGCGGGGCTGAGCAGAGGTTCGAGCTCCTTTCCACGCGTATAGAGCCTTTGGAAGTGACACTCCAATTCCGGCGGGGGAAGAACGCGGCGTGCGCTTCCCCGCGCTGGACGAACTCAAGGCCCGGCGAAGATCGCGGTGCCCCGCCCCTCACGCTCGCCAATTGGAGGCTCGAGCTCAGCCCCGGCACAGCTTTAACCAACCAGAAGCGCCAGGGAGAGGCGGAACCGGTATCTCCTCTTTCCTCCGGAAAGCGGAAGCGGAAGTGACGTTCGGGGAAGGTGGGGGCAATCATGGTGCCGCTGGGGAGGGGAGAAGCTGCCGCTGCCGCTGTAGCCGGGAGCCGCGGAGGTAAAAGGCGAAACTAGACGCGGCCGGGGCCGGGGACTTTCCGGGGGGCGCGGGACTTAGGCTCCCTCCTGAAGCATTTCCCAGTAGAGACCCCAGTCCGGTCACCAAGGGACCCCACCCCTCCTCCGTTTCCATGGGGATGGGTATCCAGCCCCCCTCCCCTGTTTCCATGGAGACCCGGACCCTGCCCCTCTTCGCCCGGCTGGAAGCCCCCCAGCCTGTCTTCGGATTTTCCCGTGTAGCCCGGGCTGGGAGCCATCCCACACAGGTTCCCTTTCCCAGCCTCCTCAGGGTGTTCTGTTTGTACTCCTCATTTGCCATCCTCAAACCTCCTGGTCTTGTTTGTTCCGGACAGTTGGTCTCCGCGTTGCCGCCAGTGGTGCCTGGGCTGCCCAGTGGGGCCCGCGTTGCCCTTCTCTCTCGTCTCAGTTCTCTCTCCCTTCAGATGCAGCGAAATGTGCATCTACCGGGTTGCGTAAGCCAGAGCAAGGGTTCGGGCCGGTTCCTCCCGGATCTGATCCCTTGGCCTGTCTCTGGTAACTACTGTATCTCTCTGTCTAGCCGCCTCACTATGTAAAGGTTCGCTTTCTAATCCAGAGCAGAAGAGAAAATGAAAGATAAAGTGCAAAGCCAGACCGAAAACTAAAAGTGATGAGGTGGTTATTTTTAAATTCTCTGTTCTGCCTGCCAAAGTCATGTTTGTAGAACCTGTGTGTTTGCAGGTAAAGGAAGAATCACTATTCCAGAGCAGGAAAGCTTCAAATTTGATATTTTCCCCAAGAGAACATATCTTCCCAAGAGAGCACCTCTTCCCAAGAGAGTATATCTGCAGGCCTTTCATTAATGTAGCTGACATTTCCTGAACTCCTAGTGTCAGTGTACTGTGCTTGGGGCATTAGAAACAAAAGTAAGACTCATCATTCCCTCACTGCCGAGAGCACACTATACAAATGTGGCTTCTAGTGGATACCAGAATGTCTTAGGAGATAAATAGATTAGGTGATTTTCATTAGATATGCCTGGTTAGGGATCACGCTTTCTACCCAAGGGCTGAAACATCTGTTCTTGGAAAGGGAACGAAATCACACTTGTTTCCTCTACTATTGTCAGACATTGCGCTTCAGCATACATTATCTCTTACTCCACGTAACAACTTTGAGAAAACAGGAATTACCAGTCCCACCTTACTCATAAGAAAAATGAGGCACAGAAAATTTCCCCAAGCAGTAAGTGGCAAAGCTGGAATTTGTAGGTAGGTGACCCTGCCTCCAAAGCTTTGCTCCTTCCACTCTAGACTGCACTGCCTCATGTTCTGATTTGAGTGGGTTAGCCTTACTTTTAAGATTCATAGCAACTCAGACTTGAAGCAGTTTGCCCCTTTATCCTCTAGGTATTTTGACCAATCTTCAAATTGTTTGGCAGTAGGGCACATTTGGAAGGTCTTGTGAACTGCTACTTATTATTTCAATGTTTCAAAAAAGGCATTGCTTTTTAAATGACTTGATGATTTCAAAGTAAAACTTTAAAAAAAAACTTAGTCCCATGGAAGATGATTTTTCATTTACTTTACTTACTCTTGAAATGAGAGGGAAAAAGATCCCTGTGGTTGCTGAGGCGAGGTCCCCAGGTCCTGTGATGTGGCTCTAACTCCGGCTTTGTTCTATTGCAGACAGGTCATTACCTTTCCATTTCTCACAATTGAGCTGAGCACAATTGAACCATGGGGGAACACAGTCCAGACAACAACATCATCTACTTTGAGGCAGAGGAAGATGAGCTGACCCCCGATGACAAGATGCTCAGGTTTGTGGATAAAAACGGACTGGTGCCTTCCTCATCTGGAACTGTTTATGATAGGACAACTGTTCTTATTGAGCAGGACCCTGGCACTTTGGATGATGAAGATGACGATGGACAGTGCGGAGAGCACTTGCCTTTTCTAGTAGGGGGTGAAGAGGGCTTTCATCTAATAGATCATGAAGCAATGTCCCAGGGTTATGTGCAACACATTATTTCACCAGATCAGATTCATTTAACAATAAACCCTGGTTCCACGCCCATGCCAAGAAATATCGAAGGTGCAACCCTCACTCTGCAGTCGGAATGTCCAGAAACAAAACGTAAAGAAGTAAGTAAAGCAGCGGGTGAGGGCTCAGTTTGGCTTTGGGGAAAGTCCTTACACAGCTCTTGTTGGCAATTTTAGCTGGGGAGTAAAGGAGTCCCTGGAATTAGGACCTGCAGTGGCTTTGCTTGTCAATAATACATTTGCTTCACGTTTTGTTGTGATTGCTTTCTGGAACTTTTGGTTTGTAAGACTACATTGAACTTTAGGAAAACCAAATTATAATTTTTCACAGTTTTCTCCCCAAATCATAAATAAAATGGAAATTTCACTGAGGTAAGTCCATATTTCTGGTGCTGAAATAACTAGATTTGGCTTACCTCTAGGTTGTGTATAAATGATTTGTTTTGGAGATGAGTATCTGCTGGAATATGCTTTATTGAATGTTTAATGAATAATAAAGGCTAGCTTTCATAAAAAATCTGGGCAAGAGACACTAACTGAACAGGTTACCTAAAATAAATTTTCATGTTTATGTTTAGCTAATGTGAGTAAGGTAATGCATGTAACAATGCTTTGAAAACTGTGAAACATTGTACAAATGTTACTAGTGGTGACTAGTAACAGAATAATAGATGTGGTTTAAAGGTAGTGATATACGTTATCCAGGAACTGATTGAAAGTCAATTAGAAAAAAATAGATCACTGGTAGTTGCAATGTCAGGGACTAAATAAATATGTTAGCAAACAGGGTAAATTGTTTGGCAAGTTAATTTTCTCTTTTGCTATAATTAAGGTCTTGAAACTGGGGCATTTTATTCATGGTACATGGCTTTTCCTTTGCTAGCCTTAGGATCCTTAGAGCTGGAAGGAACTCTAGAGAGACAGTGTTACCCTACGTCCCACCTCATGCAGGAATTTTGATAGCATCTCTGACATCAATCCATCTGGTCTCTGCTTAAACACTTTTAGAATGACGAGAGCACAGTGTTTTGTAGCTCAGCCTAGTAGATTTGTTGGCCAGCTCTGATTATTAGAAAGCTTTTACTTGTACAAAACCAAAATCTGCCTTTTTGCAGCTGCTGCCCACTCTTTCTAGTTCTGCCTTTCTGAACAACAGCAAGTTAAACTTTCCTCTCGCAGGACAACCCATCAGATATTTAAAGATCGTGGGTTTCTTTTCATCTTCACCTGTATGGGCTAAACATCTCCATTAACTTCAATATCCCTTTTATGACATTTCCCCTAGCTTCTTATCAGCTTGATCACCTTTGATTGTATGAATTCCAGTTTTCCAAATTCCTCTTAAAATTCGTAATTGAGCACAATCTCACAAGTGTAAGTCAACTAGCACTGAATACTGCGTGACTCTTATCTCTTAATTTGAACACTGTACTACTGTGACTATATAATCTATTTTATTAGCAACGACGTTATACTGTTAGCTTGTACTTAGCAACCTCCAGAATGGTGGTTCTTAACTGCAATTTTGTCCCCCAAGAGACATTTGACAATGTCTGGAGACATTTTTGGTTTTCACACAGGAGAAGCTCTACTGGAATCTAGTAGGTAGAGGCTAAAAATCCTGTTAAACATTCTACAGTGCACAAGACAGCCTCCTACAACGAAGAAGTGTGTGGCCCAAAATAGCAACTGGCTATGTTCCAATAAAACTTTATTTACAAAACAGTCAGTGGGCTAGATTTGGCTCCCTGGCTGGGGTGTTTTCTACTCCTGGACTAGAGAGCATAGGGAGTAAGCAGAGATCCGGACAGGAAAGGCAGTGACAGCATGCTAAGGGGTTTGGACTGTATTCTGGAAATAGTGGGAAACCATTGAAGGTGTCTGAGCCAGAGAGTTATGTGGTTAGAGTAGCATTTTATGGGGTTGTTGGAAAAGTCATGACGTATTTTTTCTATGTTTTTCGTTGCAAAAATGTGTCATGACTTTTCCGACAACCCAATAGAAAGATTGCTGTGGTAGCAAGTGATAGCTTCATCACCCAAGTTACAAGATAGTCGTAGTTTAGGTTTGGGGTTTCATTTGAGCCTGATGAAGGATAGTGGCCTTGTATGTGGAAAAATCCAGAGCTTTTGCTGAAGTACAAGAGAACTTGGTATGTTATTAGAGTGTGAAGAATGAGCCATGAATTGGGTATGATTCAAAGGACTCATTCATTTTTCCAAGTGTGTTGAGTTTCTTCTGTGTCTCAGCACAGGGGCCACACAGACGATTGATGGAGCTTCAGGGCTAGGTAGCGAGTTGAGTGGTTAGAGTTAACTGTGACGGGCACTTTTACAGAGGTGTATTCATAGTGCTGCGCGCATGCTGAGGAGAAAGCCGCTGATCCTGCTGCCCTCTCACCCTCTGGGAATGGCGATTCCATAACAGGAATCAAGCAGACAAGAAGAGAGAAAGTTGGGTGGGGAAATGGATGAGTTTGGTTGGAGTGCATTGAATGTATAGTCCTTGAAGAAAAATAAAGTGAACAAATTGAGAAGCCCATTGGAAATGAGAATCTGAAGTCGAGGAAATGGCTTGTGGATCCATGAAGGGGCAGTAGTTCAAACTATGGGCAGTTTGCTCAAAGGAGAAGTAAGAGTTGCTCTGAGAATTAAAGGGTTCGAAAGGGAAAGAGGAACCGAAGGTCACATAGTTAAGGAGATGCGTGGAAGGCAGTGTCAGTGGAAGCTGAAGGAAGAGAGTTTTAAGGGCGTGAATCTTCCTTTGTGACCCTGTAGACAGGGATTGAGGGGCTCAAGAGAAGCCATCAGTAGTTCTGCTATCTGTGCAGTTGATCACATCATGAGAAGACTGTTCAGTAGAAAGAAGACTGATTTTGAGTTGATGAAGTGAGTGGGTGGTGAGGAAACAGGAGGCAGGAAATGTCAAGTTTGGTTTTTGTTTTTTTAAATATGGTAGTTGGAGGACGAAGAGTGATACGGCATTAGTAACTCAAGGGGATTGAATCACTTTTTAGCACCGAAAATTGGAACGTAGCTTAGGGCCTAAACTTCAGGCCATCTTCAGTTAATGATTACTAGTGAAAGTGTTTCAAGAACAAATGTTTGGGAAACATCAAGTCGAGACAGAGGGCTGTTTATTACAGGATTTATTAGCGCTCTTGCTGTGCTAATAACTAAACAGGAAGGAAATGCAGAATTCTCCAAATATTTTGAACTTGAGAAACCATTTTTTCAGTCTCATTTCCAGGGCCAGGGTTTTGTGGAACGCATTTTGGGAAATGCTGACCTAGGCAAAAGAGATGGTAGGGAGGGAGTGATTATGCAGTTGGTGATGTTAGCTGTCACTTTCCCAACTTGCACTACTTGCAAGCCTGGTTTGCCGTTCATGTATATCCTCGGGTTGTTGGTAATCATGTTGAGTCAGGCAAGGTCAAGGGTACTAGGAGCACTTTGTTTAGTCTACTGTAGATTTAGCTTACTGTGCTTTTCCTCCCACCCCATTTTTCCATTCTATCCATGAGACTGACATGGAAGATTCTAGTAACTATTTTTCAAATCAGTAGGTGTGGGGTTAGTTGGGGATTGGGAGAGAAGCAGCAGTGGCTTTTAGTCTTTGTGAAAATCTTGCCAGATGACTAGGCGTTCAGGAGACGCCTTCCTCAAGCACCATCTTACCTTAGCTTTTGTGTTTATTTTTTTGGCATTTAAATCCGTTTAATTGGCCTGAAGAGTCCAATGTTTATGAATGATAACTTCATAAACGCCCCCCATCCCCACCCCCATTTTTTTAAACTTGGTCTTTTTCTCTATCTCCATGCCCAGGTGTTACTCTTGAGAAATCAAATCATTTGAAAACTAGTTAGTCTTCTTGGCTTCCTAAGCAGCTTATTTTCTGAGTCAGATTTTAGCCTGATTTTCCTGTTTACCCTGATTGTTCCATTGTTTTCTATAGATGTAGTTGGCTTACCTATTACAGTCATGCAAAGTGTAATGACGTTTTCATCAGGACGGACCCATCAACCACGGTGGTGCCATAAGATTATAATGGAGCTGAAAAATTCCTATTGCCTAGCGATGTCGTAGCCATGGTAACATTCTAGTGCAATGCATTACTCACGTGTTTGTGGTGATGCTGGTGTAAACAAACCTGTGCTGCCAGTCATGTAAAAGTATAGCACATATAATTATGTACAGTACACATACTTGTTAGTGATAATAAATAACTAGGTTACTGGTTTAAGTATTTACTATACTGTGCTTTTTAGAGTGTACTATTTCTACTAAAAGAAAATGTTTGCTGTAAAAGACAGTGCTTCTGCATTACAGAGCAGCCTCGTGTTTACCATGTCTCTTGATTGCATCATTTTCTGCTGTGCTTGATTTAATCTCGTGTTGTATTTATTGTACAGTAACCTGGTGTACAGGCTCGTAGCCTAGGACAGTAGGTTATACCATCTGGCTAGGTGTGTAGTGGGCTATATCATCTAGGTTTGTGTAAGTGCATTCGATGGTGTTCGCCAATGAAGAAATTGCCTAACGGTGCATTTCTCAGAACAGATTGGTTAAGCCGGACATGACAGTAGTTCATTTTTTTTCCCCTCTTGCTTGCCTTACGCAAAAATAAACCAACCAGAACCTTGCTACAGATACTGTCTTTTCCTTCCACGGGGCTACTGGTCATTCTGACTCTGATTTCACGTATCTTATTCTCAGACTTGCCCTTTCACTACTGCCTACTTGTTGCTTTGGTAGCTTTGAAACATTTCCAATAAAAAATATTGTCATTCTGCTCAAGATCAGCGTTCATGAGAGTTGCTCCTGTAATGTCTTTCTACTCCAGGTTTCTAAGAAGCTGTGTTTCCTTTTGTTGGTTCATGCAGTCCATGGTTTCCCAAACTTGCTTACATCTGTGCCATTTCTTTACTGGTTCCCCTCTGAACGCCCACAGAATTGCCATTCAGAGCTAGGACAGAGACTGTTTTTGCTGGAAATCCTAGTGTTAAGGATCCATTCATTCTTTCCACAAGCTTTTACTGATTGAATATCTACTTTTGTCAAATATCAGGAAAGAAAAGAAATTCCTGCCCTAAGGGCTTGGAA